TACCCCATCCATGAATGGATGTGATAGTTCTCGTGAAAAGATGAACAGCATTCTGCAACTATTTGTTTAATGCAGACTAATATATTAAGGTATTCACAACCTGATGTTTCTAAAAGGAATTGCATTGATTTGCATTTACCAGAGCTTACAACCGAAGTGGAAAGTTGTTTCATCACTGTAACTGTTATGAACAGGTTATACTTCTTTCTCTTCTCCTTCTGTTCTCAGTCCAATCCTGTCCAGTGCTTTGGGATCCATCTTCAGTAAATGGGACCTTCCCGTTCTCACTCTGCCCTTCAATGTTGCGATGACTTTGTACTTGGCAGCCACAGGACACTACAATGCCTTCTTCCCTACAACCCTCATCAAGCCTGTAGCATCAGTGCCCAATATCACCTGGTCTGCCATCAACGTGCCACTGGTAAGCTCCACTCCAACAGGTTTATGCTATTTCACTAAAAAGGTGAGTGTGAAGGCATTCAGCTTGGGATAACAACTTCACATGTGTCAGAATAGCTACATGATATGTAGACCCAGTGGCAGTTTACAGAAATACACGTCTCAGTTTAACCGTAAAGGACAGTGCCATAATAGCCCCAGGGAAAGTCCTGGGTGATCAAGCCTGAGGGAAAAGAGCTGCTGAACTTCTCACTTCACCTAAAACTGGACTGTCCCAAAACAAGTCACCAGTGCTGTCAATACAAAAGCACATCTGGATATGCACTCCTGCTGTCCAGATGTGGTTAAAATAACATCAGCAAGACAGTCGGTGACAATATTAAAAGATAGAAGAAACATCGGGATCATGAAGAGACAGAAACTTATTTATACCCTTGTCACCTCAGGTCTAGCTCTGGCTCTAGAGGATCACCTTCCCAAAACAGCATAAGGGTAACTGATATACTTCATATAATATATAATATACTCAAACCAACCAGGCCCATCAGAATATTATTGCCTACTATGGTTACCATCTTTCTCCCCCACTAAAAAAAATAAAAATAAAAATAAAAAATCATCCCACCCACCCATCTAGTATATTAACATCCCAAAATTAAAAAAAAAAAAAATTCCATCTTGGACTGATAAAGTTCAAACCAAACAGTGAACTAACTTTGGTTCAAAGGGCATGAGAGCCCATATTTACCCATCAGCCTCACTCAAGCCAGGGTTTCTTCCTTCCTTTCTAACCAATAGCTGGGACAAGATAACTGCTGTGTCCTTTCACAAAATAATGTGCCCTTTTCTACTGGTTGCTGCAGCTCTTGCAGTCCATCCCAGTCGGTGTTGGTCAAGTGTATGGTTGTGAGAACCCCTGGACTGGAGGCATCTTCCTTGTTGCTTTACTTATCTCCTCCCCACTTATTTGTTTACATGCGGCAATTGGATCAACAGTGGGGATGTTTGCAGGTAAGGAATATTTACCAAAGCATTTTTTTTTAATGAGTGTATCTTGATGCTAGCCACTATATGACCCTGTCCAGACTTTTGAGTTGCATGGGCTTGGACATACTTGGGACAACACTCCCATTTGTGAAAGTGTCTCTACATATGGAAGGTCTCACCGAAGGTCACACAACATGGTGAAGGCAAGAACGGAAGCAGATTTTCTTTAAGCTTTTAATTTGTTATTGGATTTGTAATCCAGGCAGGTGGCTTGTTCCACCTTGCTTAACCTTCCTGCCATTGGACATGATGAACCCCATGGAGATGATGACAAAGAGGCCTAGAGGAACAGTTTCAGAACTGATCTCTTGTCACTGCAAGTGTTTTAAATCACCACCACATGCAGATAACTACCTCAGAGCTGATCAGTCAATGAAAAGAAACGCACTTTTCTGGGA